CTCTCTCTCTCTCTCTCCCCCCCTGACTGCCTCTAAACGCACGCTGTGCAATCTCGCGTCTCGCGAAACGCCGCACGGCGGCGGCCAGGCGTTTCGCAAAAGCTCGTAAAAAAGCGCGTCGCGCTGACGGTGTTATTACACACCACTACTACACGAGCGAGACGATGGCGTAAGAGCGATTGTAAGACAACGCGCGGGGTAGATGTCGATAATTAAGAAGTCGACCGCTTTCGCCGCGAACGACGCCCGCGGACCGCGATTTGCATGTAATTGCATCTTAATGGGATGCCCGCGCCCGACATCAGGCCGCGAAACGCCGCGTTATTTTATTCAGCGTCCGCCTCGTCGCGAGGCGATCGTTCCTCTTCCGGGAAAATGTTCCACGCGACGACGTTTAATCTCTCTCTCTTTCTCTCTCTCTCTCTCTCTCTCTCTCTCTATCTCTTCCTCTCCCTTTTGCCTCTTATCTCCGACTTCTTACCGGATAACATCGCACGATACGCGGACACGGTTTCTAAACTACGCACGCACAGAGTTCCGGAATGCGCGCGAAAACCACTCGGCGCGTTACAACGAGATGCAACAACACGGTCCGGGTGAAAGTCGCCGAGAGAAAGGGAGATTTTTCATCGCCGCGGCGTCCTCGTCGTGGTCCTCGTAAACGCGGCGAACGCGTGATTAATCTCCAATGCTCGTTGCCATTGCCGCGAAGCGAAGAAAGCCGAGCGCTTTGCGGGGAATTAGAAAATCTCGAGTGAAGAGCCATCGACTAGAAGCGCCAATTAATGACTTGGAAAAACCCGTGCGACCAGATTCAGTGATTATGCTAGCCCATGTTGTTGGATAAACAATGGATTAATGCTTCCGACTCGACGCGTCGCGAATCAAAACGCCGGAATAAAAACACGACGCGGTCAAACCGGTGTGTTGACGTTTGACTTTTCTCTCTCTCTCTCTCTCTGTCTCTCAATATATGTTTCAATATATATCTCTAGGTCTAATAAGACTTAATATATATTAATGCCACTCAACGATAATTAGAAGATAAAGTTTTGAAGAAATAATCCAAAGTATATTGGAAACCGCGACTATTTAGCTATCGGGATAAGTTGGCAAAATCCATTATTTCTACTTCTTTAACAAATTTCTTTAACAAATTTCAGAATCAAGCAAGCAAGAATTTCAAAGCTATCTTTGACACATGTTTAAAAATCTTACTTAATTCTTATTAGAAAATAGCAAGAATAATCGGTTTTGTCAACTTATCCCGGTAGCCAACTAATCCCGATCTCCTTTCTGGAATCGACATCCCAAAAATCACAAGTTACATCCAAACAAGTTCGGACACGTAGCGGATTAGGCCGGAACTTTATGACGTTTGGACGAAATTGATGTAATCGCCGTATTGACCTAAGCAGTTCTGTCGAATTACGATATCTCGAGAATCATCTCGCGCTCTCTGGACTCCGCGGAGCGTGAAATGTCGCGTCCTTATGAACGGTTAACGTTCGCTCGATAATCAAATGCATGACGAGATAACAGATTCCTTCTAGGCTTTGCCCGATGCCTCCGAGCGGCCGAGCGACTCTTACATCATCCCGCGTTAATAGAACGTGCTCATTTGCCATGCAGGCGATCGCCGCTTTCGTCGTTGTCGTCGAGGAAAAAAAAGCAACGCGAAACCCGCCACGACTACGCCGCAAGTACTCCGCTGGAAGTACTCCTCTCCCTTGAGAAAACGCTGATTCTGCGCGCAATTAATTAACGAATCTAATAATATGCCGCGTGAATTTCCGGTGCTCCTTGCGGACAGAAGTGAAACTGGCAAAGCGCACACACACGTAATTGATCGTAATTATTTTCTCAACTCAATCTCTTTATGGTACGTCGAAATGTGTTAAGACATTTTATGACAAATCAAACAAGCTTTTAATATGACAAATCGTTACTCTTTCCGTAAGTATTCTCCAAAGTACAATCAGTGTATGCTTCGTTGAAATGCTGTACTTATAGCTGATGGTTCGAAGTACAGCACTGCAATTAGTAAACTATCGCTAAAAAAATCAGTTGATTCTTTCAGCGATTGATAGCAGTGACTGTTTTTATCATTACAGTTTGTAAACACAGACAGTGTCATTGCACACAAATCTCATAAAAGCTGGTGATTTTATCGCCAGAAACACAGAAAGATTGATTCGATACGACGTATAATGAATTCGTATAAATTTTGCAGTGTAATCTTTCTTCCACTAGTCAAAACCAGTGAGATACAAGATGAAGCAGTAAAGTAAGAATGTTTCTATTGAAATCACCGAATATTAACCGATTATCGATGAATCCTTTCACTGATTTAATCAGAAACATTTGTGCTGATTCACTATAAGAAAGTAAGATAAATGTCCCAATGACCGAACTAATAAAAAAACACAATCAATTTTATATTTTTATGAACAAATAATTAATGGAATTACTAACAGAACTAATGCTTATATATAAACCTTTAATTTGTCAGCAGTCGAAAAATATAATACGATATAAAATAATAAATATTAATTACAATTTTAATGAGATGTTAAATAATGCCTGTTGCATCAGCAATTGAACAATGAATCATGTTCTGATCATAATACAGGCTCAATGATTGAATGATTACGAAATAATATTTATAAATTAATATAAAATAATATCTTTTAACAAAATTTTAGAGGAAAATAATAAATTATTATAATTTATTATATTAATAATTTTTTGGAAATAATAAATATAAGTATATTAATATTATTAATAATATGTATTGTTATTATTAATATATATTATATTATTAATAATAATAATAAATACTATTAATATATAATAATAAAAAATAACATTATAATAAAAACGATATTATTAACTTTTTATTTAGCAAACCCAGAACAATTTAAGACAAAAAATGTTTAGTGTTTAAGTGAAATAAATGATTTCTCCTGGATGTATTTCCAAAATATCGTTTTAAAAACATTTTTTTCTCAACGATTTTTGTTATCTAGTGGTAAAAATCGAAACTACTAAGGCACCGGCAGACAAAACAAGTAACTAGATGTTGCTCCAAAATAACAATGCTAAATAAATACGTCTTGCATCTCTTTCTCTTGCATATAACTCATGAAAAATCGGCGTCGCTCTCAAGTAACATCACCAAATAAAGGGTTAATGTTTCAATCATTGGGACAAAGTTCAATTACTAAGGAACAGATTCATCTAATCGCGTATTGATTTTCCGTACGCGAGAAATTCGATTTAACTTCCGTTAATATAATTGATATCGAGCGTCAGAAAGAGGGAGCAACGTGTCACCATTGGGTACTCTTGACCCTGACTGTCTTCTTCGAGTCACCCACTTCCCAATTTAGCGCTCGTACTTACGACACCAGTCTCCGTACGAAATTCGAGCGTCGCTACTATTTCGGAACCCGTCGCGGTCTATTTTCGTCATCGATGAAAGAAGGAGAGCGAAAGGGAGCGCAGGGGAACTTAAATAAAATACGGACGCGGATCGACCTCCTTTATTGAGAGCGTACAGCTGTCATCGTCGTCATCGTCGTTGTCATCGTCGTGTCACAAAGTAAACTTCGCCGTGACGATTGCGCGCACCTCACGTGTGTCCGTCAACATGTCCGCAGCATCGTCGCTAACGTTTTTGTCGTCATCGCGAGAAAGGAATTTTCTCGGCGGGAAGCGGAATCGAAAGGAAGAAGCCGGAACTGCACGAGCGAGCTCCTCCAGCAGAATTTCTCTCGTCGTGAAAATTCCCCGGATCGTTAAGAAGACGCCAACGGCGTGCATCTTCTCCCTTTTCCCCTCACCCCTTCTCTCTCTTTCCACCGCCCCTCTTCTACCGTTCCTACGGGAGGAGAACGAGTGACCCGGAAATTCCCGCACGCCAACAAAGTGGATATTGGACATGCTTCTCTGCATAGAGAGATAAAGAATGGGAGGCAACACCAAAAGGCGAGCCTCGCGCTCTCGGTATTTGGCAGCTGAAAAATTTTCCATCCCGGAGATATCTCTCTCGCGCGCGATTGATAACGATAATTAACACGAATATGATCGTAGATTTCTATCGTGGGATGGATATACGGTCGAAGAAGGTATTGTTAGAAGAACGAGCGTTACCAGTGCATATGTTCGTAAGAAAATTGAGGAATATTGTCCAGTCGATATCAGCGCGGTCGTCGAGTACGAGTAGCCTATCGTCGCGCGTGTATCGGCCGTACGAAGTGGCAAAATAATACACCACTGCCCTACAAAAGGGTTAAAACGACGGCATTCGTGACGAGGAACAGTCACGGGAGCTGCTGCGGTATGCACGGAATTCTCTATTGCGGGACCCATCGACGGGCACCCACCATTTTTCCCATCGTCGTTCGATCTCAACCTCACACGTCCCTTTATATAATCGTCGCCAAGTGTATAGGATAATATCGAGAGCAGATTGCGGGAGAATCTAATCCCTAAAGAGCGTTGAGCATATCCGAGCAAACGGATTGGAGCGTAAGTAACCTTAATAATTAACGCGAACGCAGCTGCACGAGTTGACATTTGCATCGCGTCGGTGATGTCGCCAGCAACGAGCCGCCGAACGACACAAGTCGGCGGCGCAGCCGGTTTCCTCGTAAGGAAATAGGATTTCGCGGCACGTGCGGCGGATCGTAATATCATCATTGTCGGCTGTGTGCGCGATTTAAATACCTCGGCAAAAAAGAATCGCTTCTCTCTATCGTAACGTACCGTGGGTGAGACGCGGATATCCCTTACAGACGAAAAAAGAATGAAAACATCGGCCAAGGTGAAATCGATGGATCCGAGCGACTCGAGCGTGTCTGTTTTTCACGGCGCATGTCAATGAATCGGCGCTCAGGGTCTTTTAAAGGTTAAGCCTCGCGCGGCACGATAAATGTTTATAGGAGACAAACAAGCGTCACACATTATGGCTACTGCGTGTGTGTTGTCGTACTCACCTCCTCCAGGGACGTGATGGTCTGCCTGCACTGTGGCATCCGCGAGACGAAGGTGGACGTGGTGGGCGAGTTGTAGTCCTCCCTCGTCTCCTCGACGAACTCGCTCACGGCGATTAGGCCCGGCATCTTTCCTCTCTCTCTTTCTTCCTTTCCACTTGTCAGTTGCTTCGTCTCCCGCCCCCACCCCACCCCCCACCCCCCCGGGTGCCCAGCTGCAAGCGAGGTTGTCCCTTCGGCAGATCACTCCTCCTCTTCCTCCTCCGCCTCCTCCACCTCTCGCCGCGGCTCCCCCTCGCTTCGTCGTTGTCGACGTCGTCGTCGTCGTCGTCGTCGTCGTCGTCGTTGTCGTCTTCGGCGACCGCGCGCACTATTCACTCCGCGGCACCGTTCACCTCACCCGTCGTCCCTCACCATGAATTCCGCGGTACACCCCAGTCACCTTTCCGCTTCTCCTACTGAGCGTGCTGTTTCCCGTGACGCACGGTACTAACGTCCTCCCGATGCGGCGAGTGACAGGGAGCGAGAGAAAGAGAGACAAGCGCTGGAGAGTGCGTGTATATGTGTGTAGGAGAGAATGAGAAAGGGTGACAGGGAGAGATAAGTGACGTAGGAACGAGGAAACGAGACAGAGAGACGGCTGCTTGGTGCGTGTCCGGACACCTTCTCTTGGCGTTCGCGCGCGGAGCTCGAGAGAAGGACAGAGGGGCACAGAGGGAGAGCGAGAGACACTGGCCCGGCGCGATTATTTTCGCGACATGGTCACACAGCAAGCTAACACCGCCGACAGCCGCGAGCACGCATAGCCAGACAGCAGTTGATCGCTCTCCTTCTTGGCGGACAGCGCGGGTCACCACGCATACGTGCATGCGCGAGTGCACATCGCTGCCGTGCGGACCGATACACACACACACACGTCGGCACGTATCGTAACACACACACAACACACTTTTCCACGCACGTTACGCGGGACAGGCGAATGGCAAACGAGCGGCACGCGCGCGCGCGCGTACACAAATGCGTTCGCGAAGAGTTCCTTCCAATCTCACGTCTAATCGTACGCCGACTAGTTGACTCCGCGCTCGGTCGGTGCCGAGAACTACCGAGACGCTCGCGACTGCGGCCGAAGTTCCACTGAGGCGGCGCTGCCTACGCGCGCGCGGCCGGCCGCCCATCCGCCATAGAGTGCGTAGCTATTAGAGACGGTCGCGTCCACGCGCGCGTGCGCCGCTCGACACTAGCGATTCTACACGGTCGACGGCGTAATGAGACGAGAATTTCAAATGTCTAGCATTTTTTGATGCGTCAATACTGATGTCCGTATTGGACTATGAATTAAGGATTACAATCGGACCAAGCAAATGGAAGCAAGCTTTAAATTACCTGATTAGTCCGATTGTAATCTTTAATTTATAGTTTGATACGGACGTGAAGAGTATTGACGTGAATTGAAAAGTCATAATGCTCTGAGACACCGATAAAACAACAAGTTCCCAAAAACTTCTAACAGATGTCTTATGCCCGTCTTTACCGACGTCGTTTAAACTTTAATCTAAGTTTACATCCTGGTTTGTGGGTCAATCATGAATCTTTTCCCCTGAATTCGTGAAAAATCTAACCTTATCTAAATCTAACCTAAAGATATATGGAAATATTCACTTTTCATGAGTTGACATAGGAAGAAAAAATTTACAATCGCCTACAAGTGTTGCAAAATTATTCACTTTACATAATTTTATACTAAGAAAAGAAATTACACGATTGATAAGTATGATCGAATTTACATTAAAAAGATTCATGATTGATGCTCTGAATATAGAGTTTAAATTCAGAATGAGATTTAATCGATATAGAAACGATCATTAAAGACATAAAGTCTTTTGACGTCTAATAGACATCTTGTTCAGACATGTCTCTTAGACATATTTAAGACGTCTTTTGGAAGTTTGTGCTATCTGGGTCTGTTCTTTCCAACTAAACTAGGTTGCACTTTTTATCTGTAGAGTGAAATAAGTATATATTCAACTCGCGTTGAAGGGAATAAGGACAAAGTTCCAGTGCAATTAGTTGAGTTGAAACGAACATACCTAACATTACATTGATACAGTATCGCACTAAATTAGTCGTTACCAATGCCCCTTCCCCTTCAACTTATCGCGAGATACGGCGTGCTAATATAAGTGAGAGGCAAGAATTCACCGAGGAACGAATGTAACAGCAGAAGTTTTGTGTTTCAAAGCTTTGCTTTCGTTAAATAAATGCGACTACCTTTGATTGCTCCATTCGATTCATCGGATATTGTGTTTTCAACGCGGCACAATGGACGCTGGACGTTGACGATGAATATCGAATGACATCGCGTTTAATCGCACTCGCATACATTAATTGATACGCCAGAACATTTGCCCGACACTCGTCCGCGCGCGATATTACCTTTAATCAGGTAAAAAGACGTAAGGAACACGGAACGATTGCGAGCTGTGTTCCAACCGTTGCAATATGATCTGAACTGAGCCGCGATTTCGATACTTTGAGAATCGCAATTGCTACGATGGCGATGGTTCCGCCGATTCGAGATGCTGACTTCCGACATTTCGAGAGTGCTGGACACAGAATCGCGCGTCATTAATATTTGATTCATTTAGAAATAAAGATAAATTTTTCGTACATCATAATGTAAGACATTTCGTAGTATCATAAAATCCATTATTTTCAGCTACTCTATCCGTTTACACCTATTTTTAATCTTTCTCCCTTCTTTTAGTCAATATTTTTATATATAAAAAGTCGAATATTTGTATTCTTGTATTAAATGTATTGATTCTACAATATCTTTTATTAACAAGTTCATTGACAAAGCTGTCCCGTTCTATTTGGTTTGATTCCACATCTTCAGATATTATTAAGTTAAAACACTTTAGCAAATGGGTTAAAGATATAATTACAGTAATAGTTGTTATACACGGGTAAGTATAATCTAACAAATAGTTTCACTACATTAGTGAAAGTTCTTAAACTTTATTGGACATAGAAATTAAATGACAATGGTTTCCTGAAGCTTAAGCTGTTTTTTGCTCTTCGCCTTAACTTGCGCCGCAATACGGTCTAAGTCTCTACGTCCTTGGCTGGTGAGTTTACGACCACCAAGAGGCGCCTTCTCGATGAGCTTCAACTGCTCAAGACTCTGCAATGCTTTGCGGGCAACACCACCCGCTGATCGGCAGAAGTGGCTGGGATGGGTGCCATTACGCTTGCGTCCTCCAAAGATCTTGGTAACAGCACCAACTCCGATTGGACTGCGGAAATAAATGTGACGCACCAGAGCTGCACAACGAATAAAGTACCAATCTGGATCATAAGGTGCAAGCTCCTTGAAACGGGCCGTTTTTACAATATCCACCCATTCAGGCACACGCATCTTGCCTGTTCTGAAATTTTACAAGACAAAATAATATAAAATCATGAAACATAATTTTTGAACAATTAAGTATATCTACTCATTTCTACATCATAATAACAGCATAAAAATATAAAAACACAGCATAAAATAAAATTGTATGATCTATTTATTATTATAATAATAGGAGAACAAGAAATAGTCTCTGTAGAAAATCCATTTATGATACACAGAGTCCATGTCTCAAATAACCTATTATATTGTAAACATTTCAAATATTAATTATACTACACAAATAATGTTATTTTATTATTTATTATTTAGATTATTTAGATCATAATAGAAATAACACTAAATAATCGAATTTATAATAATATTGACTAAGTTCAGCAAAGAAAGCTGCTTTATAACTGTTATAAAGTTTGTGACTCTGATTGATGTATACTCTTAATTTTTATTGATCTAAAAGCATGTCACAATCAGATTCACATATCGTTGCAAATAGTTGCAAAGTAATTTTTCTACTAAATATAGAGAATATTTAGTAATTCGTGGTATTACTTCTATTATTTAATGTGATTCAAATAACAGATATGAAATAACATTGGCTGCGTTCAGCAGAGAAAGCTGCTTTGCAACTGTTGTAAAATTCGTGAATCTGGTACATGCTCTTGGATTCAACCAAAATTAAGAGCATGCTCCAATTAGATTCACGAATTTTACAACAGTTGCAAAACAGCTTTCTCTACTGAATGCAGTCATTGTTAATATTATTATTAAGATACGCTAAGGAGGTTAGATTGCGTTTTACGGTTCTTACTTTTTAAGGAAGGCAGCGAAGGCCTTCACGAACTTGTGTTGATCTACATCTTTCAATGTTACAGATGGCATCTGAAAACCAAATGTGAAATTTTGTATTCGGTAAAATAGCTAACACGTGTACAACAATAGAAATACACACGCCACATGGTTAATGCACTAAGTAACATAATATCTCGGGAATCTTATGACGAAAATTCATATAACTAGTAAAAATTATGAAAAGCATCAAATCAATACACACGTTTTTACATATATTTACGTTATTTCTTCAATTAAAATGATTAAATCTGCCACGAGATCATCAAGGTACTATGCACCACGAGTACAAAATCACTCGAAAAGACTTGGAACAAAATGGCGAGAGAATGGCTGGGATAGGGTGTGATCGTAAAATGGACAGTTATGAATCACGGTATACCAAGATACGTCGAGATGAGACGTTTCGTGTTCACGAATCATCCAATGGCCAAGTTCGTCTCGCACGTTCGTGTTGGAAGCATCATTCTATCTTTTTCACTCATTATACACTGAAGGAAGATAGAATGATACTTTCTGCACGAAAGCGTGCAAGACAAACTTAGCCAATAGGTTTGTTCGAATTGCTTGTACTTTTCACACTTTTACACCTAATGCTCGTTGCACACTAGTGCACCTCAAAAAACATTTTCCAAAATATATTCTGAAGACATTTTCAGGACGGAGGGACGTTATCAAAGTATTCTTAAGACGTTCTTTGAAAGTGTGAATTGTCTGAAAATAGCTAATATCCAATAAGTTTATTCGTATTAATTGAACTTTTTACACATTAATTTTAGTGCACATTAATTTCACACATTAATTTTAGTGCACATTAATTCTTTAGAGGTTCTAAAAATGGCGTCATGTTTTCCGTTCGTATTGCGAGTAAATGTAATTCTGATACACTTTTCACTTTTGCTTGGGATCAAGTGTAAAAAGTGTATTAGAATTGCATTTACACTCGTAATACGAACGGAAATGACGTCATGACGGATCATGACGTCATTTTTAGAACCTCTAAAGAATTAATATGAAAGTGTAAAAAATTCAATTAATGCGAATAAACTTATTGGATATTAGCTATTTTCAGACAACTCATATCTTCAAAGGACCTAAAAATATTCTGATGACATCCCTTCGTCTTAAAAGCATCTTCAGAACGTATTTTGGAAAATTTGTGTTGTATGAGGTGCACTAGTGTGCAACGGGCATTAAGTATAAAAGTGTGAATAGTACAAGTAACTCGAACAAA